GTTAGTTGGCTGGTCTAATCATGAAGAATAACAGCTTTAACAACAAGAACACAATGGCTGTCAAAGTCACATCATCTTCTCCGCTACACCCACACCACTCTTTTGTACCTCGCTTAGGTTTGATTCTTTTTCTCAGAACACAGCAGATGAAATTAATGCCAAAACTGCTGTGTGCTTGGAAAAACGTTTGGAAGGAAAGTAAAGAAAACAGAATTTGCATCATTAGGGTGTTGAATTTGCATTTAAGAATATTAATAAATCACAAATTTGTCAGACTGTGATTTTTCCTGCTCTGGAGCTTTGTGTTTCACACTTTGTTTTCACTCCCTGATTACTTTCATTTTCACTCCTTCATAATTTTGCGGTTAGTTTTAGAAGCCAAAAACTACAAAACCTGGTCACATTTACTAAAATTAAGTGGATAAAATTGTTTCTTAAAGAGTAACCAGACAATTTAATAACACACAATATCTTGTTTGTAATTTTTCTTTAATAGAAGGTCTTTTTATTACTACTTTAAAATTCAGGTTATTGCACAGAGCTTTTTTCCCCCCTTTTTATAAATAGTTACAATGTTAACTTTTAACTCTGAGGAGTCCTCACCCACCGCTGTCTATCCGGGGCCTTGAAGTGGAGAGGGTGAGCAGCTGTAGGTACCTGGGCGTCTACATCTCTGAGGACCTCACCTGGTCACTGAACACCACACAGCTGGTCAAGAAGGCTGAGCAGCGGCTGTATTTCCTGAGGAGGCTGAGGATATTTGGTATGTCGGCCAAGATCCTTAGCAGGTTCTACAGCTGCATTGTGGAGAGCACCCTGACCAGCTGCATCACTGCATGGTACGGCAGCACTACTGCTATGGACCGCAAACCCCTGCAGAGAGTGATAACAACTGCGGAGAAGATCACTAGGACCCCGCTGCCCTCTCTGCAGAGCATCTACCATTGCAGAGTCCAAAGGAGAGCTGCCTCCATCCTCAAAGACCCCTCACACCACCAACACGGACTGTTCACACTTCTGCCCTCGAGATGAAGGTTTAGAAGTGTGAAATCCAGAACATCCAGACTCACTAACTCCTTCTTCCCCACTGCCATCAGACTCACTGACACATTTTGAACAGTAATAATATTTTTTTGACCCTCTCCTTATTCTCCATATTTCGTCTCCTTTTCTGTCTTCAGCTATTTATTTGTACTATTTGTATTTATATGTTCTATTTCTATTGTATATATTAATCGGCATCTGTGGTTGGTCAGCAAAGAAAGAATTCCATTGCACAAAGAAATGCCTTTTCTCTTGTGACACATGACAATAAACACTTTGAATGTTGAATTTTGAATCTTTTAACTTTCAATTACCGCAACACAAAAAGAGAGAAGACTAGATCGAGTGGCAGACGAATGGAAACAAGGAAATGGCAGCTGTTTTACTGGCAGATTAATGGCTTCCTTATAAATTACAGTCAGTTATTATGCTAATGTTATTTATCATTACAAGTAAACTAGATTCAGTCACAGCCCATTACATATCATTATTCTGTTTCATGTGAGAAATGTCTGCCCAAATCAGTATGCTATGTTTACATATTAACCCACTTCCCACTTTATTTGGCACTGCTGTTCAGCTGTTCAGCTTGTTAATTAATCAGCCAATCACATGGCATTCCTTAAGAAATGTCAAAATGGTCAAGAGGACCTGCTGAAGTTCAAAGCGAGCTTTAAAATGGACAAGAAAGGTGATTTAAGTGGACTGAATGTGGCAAGGCTGGTCTGAATATTTCAAAAGCCGATGAATCGGCTGGGATTTTCACATTTTGGAGGTAGAGTCAGAATTTGGTGTAAACAGCATGAAAGCGGAGAAAGCATGCTCCTAAAGCTGCTTAACATGCACCCATATGTAAAAAGCATCAGTTGGCGTGTCATATAACCAAACTCAGAGGACACTGAGGAGCCAGAGACTTCTACAGTACATCAGTATTTGCTGTACTGGAAATGAGAACAGGCTGAACTTACTCAACAGTTTGAAAGCTCCACTTTTTTGTTCACAACATGGGAGCAAATACTGAAGCTTTTTTGTGCCTGTGAACCAAGTGTGCAATTTTAATTCAAGTGAGTCATCTTGACTCTAGTTTTTAGTTCTCTTTAATGCATCCAAAGAGTCCATATGCAGCGTCACTCAGTAAAATGTATTCACCGTTTTATAGCTGCGCCCTTTCCAGCTGTGTACGGAGCAACTGTTTTGTTTTGTTGTTCCACTGCAGGAGTGGTTGTAAAATTCTAAATGCATTTTTTAGAGCCTGGCAAACACATGCAGAAATAATTACTTCTGTAAAAGGAAACAGCCCTGCAATAGTCTTGTGAGGGAGGAAATGTAAAGGACTTAATGATAAACGTTACTGTCATTTTTCTACAGGGCTCCATAAGGCTGAGGGGGGGGGGAAGATAAAAGTGATTGAAGCACTTTACAGCATATAATAGCTTTGCTGGCTTATTTAAAAACAACACAAATACAGAAAAAAAAACCCAGTGCATTTATAAAAGTGCACTTCTTGTGCTTTCTCCACGCTCCGATTCAGGAACATCACCTACTGTGCAGCATGAAAAAAACAGAAAAAGCTTCCAATTGTTGGGACAAAGGTGCAAATAGATAGAGAGACTGAGAAAGAGCCGCCACCCATAACTACACCAGTCACACCTGGAACTGGAAAACAGACAGCAATAACTGGGATACTGCTGCTGTGTATAGCGCCTTCTCATCACCAGGGAGACATTCTAATAGAGAACAGGCAAGGGTCACCATGGCGATATAAATCACACCTGGCAACTGGGAGACAGTCGCCTTGACAACTAGCTTAATATGCACTCCCTGAACAGAATGTGTGTGTGTGTGTGCGTGTGCGTGTGCGTGTGCATGTGTGTGTGTGTAAAATGGGTGAAGCTCGCAGTGAGCGGAGACAGAGTGCACACAGGAGTCATGTTAGAAATGAGGCTGAAAGAAACTGAAAAATACATCAGCGAAAATATAGAAGCGGGCAACTTTATGACCACTTTCACCTGCCATACTTGTCATGTGCCCACAAGAGCACACAGTCTTATTTTGATGATTACATCAGTTCCCTTTACCCCATCTAAATCCAAACTTACAGTACATCTAAGCTCACACGTGACTTCACACTAAAAATTCATTTCTTATGGGTGCATGTGTATTGAAACTTTAATATGACATTCATGTATCCCCTCACAACACAAATACTAACAAGTACATACACATATATTTGCATGCCTATCTTTGTGGGGACCCTTATGAATGTAACACCTAGCAGAGAAAAGTTTTGATTAAAAAAAAAAAGAAAAAAGACTGACCTGCTAAGAACTTAACCTAACATAATTTAACATCTAAATATATCTCCAGAACATTAGCGGGTGACCCGATGCTGCTGCGACAACTGCATCGAGCAGATCATGTGTGAGTTGGAGCAAATAAACACTGAAATGCAGGTGGTGTGAAAATGTCTCCTTTTTTGAGGTGCAGTAATTTAAGTTAAATCAATGAAGCTCATAAATTGTTCAGCGGGGCTGTGAAAAGAAGAAACTGCAAATAGTTACATTTGAGAAATACTGGCCACTATGCTTGCATTGGCAATATGGAGGAGGCGAGATAGAGCCAGAGACTATTACATAAATAAACAAGAAGCACTCCAGGAGCACAAACCTCCATCAAGGCAGCTCGTTCTCTGGGCTGTATTTGCTCTTAAAGAAATAGTATTTTATTTTGTATATATTCATTATAAAAACAAAATCTTT